AGGTGTCCGCTACGCCCGCTTCTACAACGGGGTCGACCATGGCGACTAACGCGTCTGCCGGCCTACGAACGACTTAGTAGGTGCAAAAGTCGGCTCCTATCTGAAGGTAATTTGCGGGGCCGTCCACGCTCACCGCACCATGCGGAGAGTGGCTCATTTGGACGGGCATCAACAGGAGGAGGGGCATGCAACTTCGAGCTTAGGGAGTTTATTTTTGGGTGTTACCATGGTTCCAACGACATGGGAAGGATTTGAAGCGGGGCTGACAAGTAGGTTCGACTTGGTGAATGCCTCCGAAGCTGTTAGGAAGCGTCTGCGTCATTTCCGCCAGATAGGAAACGTCCAGGAGTACACACGACGGTTCTTGAGCATCTGCAACGAGATAGACGATATCACGGAAGAAGAGATGCGCGATCGCTACCTTGAAACGTTGAAGCCGGACATAGTGGAGATCATAGCGATTCACGGGTTGTCCACCTTCGAGTCGGTAGTCGCAGCAGCAGAACGCGTCGACGCAGTACGAAGCCGACGGGGTCGTGACGATCGTGATAGGGGATACAACAAACCGATCAACGACGCTCGATCGAGGGACGGACCGTCGCCCATGGAGATTGGTGCAGTTAACAGTGACGGCTCACAGAAAACGGGTTTTAGGGGGAACTGTCACAACTGCAAAAAGCCAGGACACATGAAGCGGGACTGCCCACATCTTAAGGAGCGGCAGCAGAACCGCCAGTAGATAGCGGGTCGCTAGCTGGTGTGAGCGCTTCCGAACCCGCCTAGTCTACCAACGTAGAGGAGACGGCCTTAGAGCAGTCATCTACGCCGACCGAGGTAGACACTGTTGATCACCCAGTCGTGCTTCTAGGGAAGCTTCGTGGAGTTCCGGTCAAGATTCTCATAGATAGCGGAGCTAGCCACTCTTTTGTCTCTTCATAGCTAGTTAGTCGTCTCCATCTCGAAACAGATTCGGCAGTCAACTTCAAAGACGCATGCATGGTAGATGGGACGCCTCTCCACATAGGACCAGTCATCCGCAAGTTGCGCGTAGTGCTAGGACCAATCACGGTTAGGCGTGACTTTGACTCTGCGACGCTGGACGGTTATGACTTCATCTTCGGTATGGATTGGCTACGGACGGTTAGTACTTAGTTCGATTGGGCTCAGGGAAGCTGCAGCGTCAAGGTAGACGGGGAGTTCCGGGAGCTGCCACAGTGGAGTGATGGGGCCACATCATCCACAGCTATCATCAATGTTGTTCGTGTGCGGCAGCTGGTGAAGCGTGCGGCACGGATCTTCGCGGTTTTCCTTGAGGAGGTGTAAGATGAGGAGGGGAAAGGAGGGAGTGCAGCAGTTGGTGAGAAGGCGACTCTTCCTGCTGAGATGAGTGCACTGTTAGCAGAGTTCGCAGACGTCTTCCCCGACGAGTTGCCCCCAGGGTTGCCTCCCAGCTGAGCGGTAGACCATCGGATAGAGTTGGAGCCGGGAAGCAGACTAGTAGCGAAGCCGCATTGGAGGTTGAGTCCAGCGGAGACAGAGGAGATGTCGCAGCAGGTTAGGCACTTTCTTGCGCAAGGTTTCATACAACCATCTAGATCGCCTTGGGCAGCACCGATCCTTTTCGCGCCTAAGAAAGACAGAGGGTTACGGATGTGAATAGACTACCGCGCATTGAACGCCGCCACCGTCAAGAACATGTTTCCAGTACCGAGAATAGAGGATCTCCTAGATGCAGTGCAGGGCACTAGAGTCTTCTCCAAGATCGACCTTCGCTCAGGATATCACCAGATTCGAGTAGTTCCGGAGGATCAGGACAAGACGACGTTTCGTATGAAGCAGGGGTTGTACGAGTTTAGGGTTCTACCGTTCGGTTTGACCTACGCCCCAGCGACGTTTCAGACGCTCATGAACACCGTCCTCTCCGAGTTCCTAGGTTCGTTCGTCGTAGTTTACCTAGACGACATTCTCATCTTCTCTAAGACGAAAGAGGAACCCGTGCAGCACTTGCAGAAGGATTTCGAGGTCTTGCGGAAGGAGCAGTTGTACGCTAAGCAGTCGAACTGCGAGTTCTTCTCCCCGAAGTCGAGTTTTTAGGTCACGTCGTATCCTCTAGTGGCATTAGGACCGACCCAAAGAAGATCGCAACAGTACAGGACTGGATAGCTCCAACCTCAATAAAGGATTTGCAGAGCTTTCTCGGATTCGCGAATTACTACCGTCATTTCGTTCAGGGTTATGCATTGATCGCTAGTCCACTCATCGACCTACTTCGGAAGGGCGTATATTTCGATTGGGGTCCAGCGCAGCAACAGGCGTTCGAGCAGATGAAGTAGTCGCTCACGCCTTCACCGACACTGTCGTACCCAGATCCCACTCGCCCGTACGTTGTAGTGACCGACGCATCAGATCGGGCCATTGGAGCAGTGCTTCTTCAGGACCAGGGCCGCGGGTTGCAGCCGATAGCATACGATTCGCATAAGCTTAGGGGAGCGGAGCTGAACTATCCCATTCACGACAAGGAGGCGCTCGCGACCATCCATGCGTATAAGGTGTGGAGGTGCTACCTAGAGGGGGCAGATAGTGTTATACGCACGGACCATTGCTCACTTCGTTTCCTCAAGTCGCAGCCGCAGCTGAGTCGTCGCCAGGCTAGATGGATGGAGTTCATGGAGGGGAGTTTCCACTACAAGATAGAGTACAAGCCAGGCGTGCGCAACCCAGCAGATCCGCTCACTCGCCCTAGTTGCCAGCTCGCCAGCCTCACAGTCACTGCTGGCCATCCAGTTCTCACAGCACTCTTCGAGCACGGTTACACAGTAGATCCCGACTTCACATCGCAGCCGCCCGCAGGAGCAGAGGTGCAAGGTAGTGTCTACATTCGGAAGGGGACAGCACGGATTTGGGTTCCCGCCTACCACCCTCTTCGACAACTTCTTCTTTCCGAGGCGCATGATGTAGTTGGCGAGGGTCACTTCGGAGCAGATAAGACGGCTAAGATGCTTGGTCGCACGTATTTCTGGCGACGTAGAGGATTACATTCGTAGACGTAGAGGATTACATTCTTGCAGCAGACGTAGAGGATTACATTCGCTCGTGCGACATATGTCAGCGTACGAAATCCTCTCGCCAGCGCAAAGCATGACTTTTGCAACCGATTCCACCACCCGACCGCCCTTGGCAGGTAGTTACGATGGACTTCATCATGGCTTTACCACGCACCATCTTCGTGGTAGTGGATAAGTTTTCTCGAGCAGCGCACTTCATCCCCACGCACGGCAAGGTCACAGCAGAGGAAGCCGCGACGCTGTTCGTAGATAACGTAGTCCGACCGCACGGGGTTCCAGATTCCATCATCTCAGACCGCGGCCCTCGTTTCACTTCGAAGTTATGGAAGCAGCTTTTCGCACTGTTTGGGACTCGCTTAGCCATGTCATCTGCGTATCATCCAGAGACAGACGGACGGACTGAGCGTGTGAACCAGACCTTGGAGCAGATTCTTCGCGGCATCACGATGCACGACGCAGCCGCATGGGACAAGAAGCTGAGCATGGCCGAGTTCGCCTACAACAACACGCACCATTTGTCCACAGGCATGTCACCGTTCTTCGCACTGTGCGGTCAGCACCCCAATGTCCCCACTCGTGTCGATCTCACACCCACAGTCCCTCGTACGAACAACTTCCACCAGCATCTCACCTTCATTCATGATCACGTAAGGAAGCACCTTGAGCTCGCAAATGCACGCATGGCACGCACCACCAACCGCAGTCGTCGTGAGGTGTCGTTTTCAGTTGGCGACCGTGTCCTTCTCGACAGCCGCAACCTCCGACTGCCATATGACAGCAAGCTTCGCCCTCGTTTCATTGGTCCATTCGTCATTGAGCGCGCACTAGGTCCAGTCGCATACCGCCTCCGCCTTCCCGCTCAATTCCGCATGCATCCGTCATTCCACGCGTCTCTCCTTCGTCCATACACCGATCCCAACGCCACCTTCTCGGGCCGTGATCGCACTCCAGATCCAGCACATCCTCAGGCACCGTCGCCGTCTCCCGGGGGGTGTCTCCTTCATCGACTTCTTGGTTCGTTGGCGTGGTTACGATGCAGCCGCGACAGCTGGGTTCCTTCGTCCTCGTTGTCTACTGACAACGCTTGCCTCCAAGCGTACCTTCAGTTTGCAGGCGCCGCGGACGTCGCCTCCTTGGGAGGGGGGTAGTGTTAAAGGGGGGTTTACTGTTCTCTTTGAACAGTACTTTCCAACTCACCCTTATCCTTATCTTTCTTGATTTCCTTGTGCCACGTGTCACTCTACTTTTCTTACTTCTACTTGCTAGTCCCACGAAGTACTTTCCATCATTCGATCTTGCATGCTATATCAACCTTGCTTGTATTCCCCAATATCAACCAATTCTCATTCAACCATTACTCAGTTACTTCTTCGCCTACTTCGCTAATACTTCTTTCGCCAAAGTCTTCCGCCGCGTTTTATCTTCGATATACTCAAGTCCGCTATTCCTTAGCGGATTTAGGCCAAGGGGCCTAACAATTTGAAGGGTGGTCTGAAAAACTGAACATGAAAACAGTAAAACGAGCCTATTCAACAAGGGTAGACCTATTCGGAACTTGGACATTATGCATCCTAGTTGGAGTAGTTAGGGCAGGACGTGTTCCACACGACACATCAATAACATGTAGCACGAAGCTCGTTGAATCGGCAATCCGGATCCTTGAGTCGCACGCCAGACCATAGGGTTTTAGTTTTTTTCTGCCCGGGGCAGCATGTCGTCAAGTCGTCAACAGGTCGTCAGGCTTGACGACCCGTTTCCGCTGGGATATTCCGTTGTGTTTCACAGAGGGAGAGGATGTTCGACATCTTGAGCGCCATAAAGCGTCTCTGATGAAATACGCCGGAGTATTCGTCTGGGAGTGTGAGCATAGGAGTTTTAGCAAAAAATGCGGTACTACTAAGAAACGTTTGTCGCTTTTTGAGCCGCGTCATCATTATGGTCGCAAACGTGGCGTACGCGGCGTTGCGCGACGCATTGGCGCAGTCGCAGAGCAACCATGATCGCCTGGCGAGCTTTGTAGGGTCGCTCAACCAGCGGCTCTCGGCCTTAGACACGGCATTGCGACCAACGCAGGTGAGACGACGGACGATGCGCACGCGACATTCGCAGGGAGGGCCGCCTATGGTCTCGTTTTCACACGCGGAGTCCGCGCTTCTTTTTTGTTCACAGCTTCAACGGCAGGAGTGTTGTAACACGGAGCCAATGATTCTGTCGACGCAGCAGGTAGCTTCCTGATTTGCCATACAGAACCTTGAGTCGCTCGCCCCGTGGTTTTCGTGTTTCAGCGCTATGACCACGGTTTTCGTGGTGTTCGTGAGAGGATTCTTGAGCGTACAGCGTCTGGAATGGACTCCATCTCGACGCTGTATGACGCTCAAGAATTCGAAACTGCCTGATGAAATACGCATTTTTGCTGGTTTAGGAGTGGGAGCGTACGCAACAAGGCGCTGTCGGTGCTAGAATGATAGTCGCCAAGGTCGTAAACGTTGTCGCATCTTGAGACGTTGTTACGCCGCCAAGGTCGCAAAGGTCGTACGAGCAGGCGTTTGCGCGACGCATTGGCACAGTCGCCGCAACAATGATGGCGGAGCGACCATGATACCGTGACGGTAGTTAGACCAGCGGCTCTCGCCCTTAGCGACGGCTATGCGACTGACGCAGTGAGAAGTGCGACATAGACGATGCACAGTGATAGGACGCGAGCAGTCGCAGGGAGGGCCGCCTATGGTCTCGTTTTCAAGCAGAGCAGCATTGCGAGCAGAATCGCCGAGCCGAGCCGAGCCGAGCCGAGCCGAGCCGAGCCGAGCCGAGCCGGTATTCCCTTTTCTTTCCCTCATTCTCTCACTCCCCTCGCCTTTCCCTCTCCCCCCTCCCCCCCCCCCCCCCCCCCCCCCCCCCACCGCGGCCTGACCTGGCAGGAGCACACCTGTGCCATCCGCAAGGTGCGCGTGAATGTGGACAAGGCGCTCACGGCTGCTGAGGTGGTGCTGGAGAAGTATGACGTGGCGAGGCAGGTGAGATAGGCATCGTACGGCCAGATGGGCAGGGCATGTGGGATGGGGAGGAAGCTATGGAATGGACGGATGTTTGAAATGTTGCGTTGTGTGTCAATTCAGCTAGCAGGCTACTACATGGTTCGATGATTCGATTGTAACTGTGAGTGTGCGGGTACTCTAGCTTGTAACTGCTGCTTGCTGCTCATTGGTTGCGCTCTCAGAGGCACAATGTGCACTTAATCGCATGTACTTTTGAGAATCCTCAGAAGGTACGCACCCGTCTTCCCCCTCCCCCCTGCACGCTCCCGTGGCAGGTGAGGGGAAGCAGCAAGGAGGGTCTCTAGAACGGGTTGAGGCTGCACTGTAACGATTTCTGAGGCGCCTATTTTTTTCCCTCACTCCCTGGCTGGCAGGTGGAGGGGTGCATCAAGGAGGGTCCCCAGGCCGACCTAGAGCCATACCTGGCAGGCATAGCGCGGCTGCACGAGGGCGTGGCGTACTTTGAGGCGCACCGGTCGTTCAAGAGCGCGGAGGCGGCTCTGGCTCACTCCAAGGCGCTGCTGAGGGAGGGCCACCACCGACTAGAGAATGCTCTCCGGCAGCAATTGTTGCAGTTCACGTGAGTGAGGGGGGAGAAGAGGGGGGCCTAAGGGGTGGGAGCGCGGAGGCGGCTCTCGCTCACTCCAAGGAGCTGCTGAGGGAGGGGCACCACCGCCTGGCCGATGCTCTCCGGCAGCACCTGCTGCAGTTCACGTGAGTGAGATAGGGGAGCAGGAATTTTGGGGGTGTGGTGGGAGGAGGGAGCAGGGGAAAAGAAGAGTCAGTAGCTGCTGCAGCAGCTCATGGGAACTGCTGTTCATGGGAAAGGAAGACTGGGGGGAAACCCCTGTTTCGTCTTATGATTGTAACCCTCTCACTCCATCCGATCCAATTCCCTCTCCCATGCCTTTCTCCCTCCCCACCCCCCTCTCCCCCCAGCAAGGAACCGGACCCAGCCAAACTGTGGGACGCGAGCCAGCAGGGCGAGGAGGAGGCGGGCGGGGAGGGCGAGAAGGTGGCGGGCGGGGAGGGCGAGGAGGAGCGCAACCGGTTGCCGGTGCTGCTGGCGGATGGCAGGGCGGGCGACCGCATCCGCGAGCTGGCAGAGGCGCTCATACAGATTGGGCGGGGCGATAAGTGCCTCAAGACGTACATGTGAGTGAGGAATTTGTTACAATGTAGAGCGGTGCCGTAACAAGCAAGGGCACAAATCGATCGCAAGCCGGCTTGCTTTGCACTGGTATCACGCAAAGTTGATCCATGGCTCCCCTGCAAAAGCCGGGCCTGCAAACAAGGGCTTGCATGGAACCGCTGTAGGTTTGTGTCTGACGGGTCGGCCTACGTTTAGCTGGTGGCAGGCACCTTACGCTAGTGTTGACTTACGTTTATAAACGTCTACATGCCCAGTGTTTACAGTTACGGACATCTTTCTAGGTTCGGGCGAGTGCTTACAGATGCAGTTACAAGTGTACTGAAGAAAAGAACATGCGAAGTGCGACAGAGAACGCCTGAGAAAACAATTGGGCCTGGTTTGGCCCGTGACAGTCGAACAACACCCGTTTCATAAAAAGTGTTCGGGTTAAAGCGAACATGTTCGGTTCGCTCACTGAACATGTTCGTTACACGTTCGACCCAAACACTTTCGTCTTCGGTTTTTGCTCAACCCACACACACCCTCACAACACAACCAACCGTCCTCCTTCCCAAACCCTCCCCCCCCCCCCCCCCCCGCCCCCCCCCCCCCCCCCCCTCCCCCCCCCACACACACCCTCGTCGCATTTCCCCAGAGAGGTGCGCGGCATGATGGTGGAGGCGGGGTTGAGGCGCATTGGCGTGGAGAGGCTCACCCACGAGGAGATGGACTGCATGGTCTGGGTGGAGCTGGACACGCGCATTGCAGGCTGGAGGAAGCACATCAGCCTCGTGGTGAGCGAATTAAGGCTAGACTGGTAGGCTGGGTGGCGTGGCGCTTTGTGTTGCACAGTGCAACGTGTCAGGAAGTAGAGACGCCTGGGCTGGGTTCGTACCATCCGTTTCGTTGCCATTTACCGAGCCCTCCTATCTCTCGCCTTTCTCCACCACACGAGCCCGCCGCTCCACCAAGCTGGAAACCATGAAATGCTCCTGCGAATCCTGAATCGTCACACACCACATCCTAGCATCAACATTATGCCCTAGATATCCCACCCACCTCCGCGCTCTCTCTCCTCCTTCCCCCACCCCCAGGTGCACGTGGTGTTCCCTGCGGAGAGGGAGCTGTGTGGGACGGTGCTGGCGGGGTTGGAGCCGCACACAGGCAAGGCGTTTGCGGACCTGGCGGGGCTCACGCTCGGCATGCTCTTTGGCTTCGGGGAGGCCGTGGCAAGCCAGAAGAAGCCGCTGAGCAAGGCAAAGGAGCTGATGAACACGTTTGAGAAGCTGTTGCTCATGTATGACACCACGTGCAAGCTCATGCCGCAGGTGAGATCCGATGCACACTCAAGTGGTAACTGAGTTGAGGTGCGAGCTTATGTGGGAAGGTATCTTGGAAAGCACGCCAGACGATGGTCAGTACGCTCACGCTCTAGGTTTTTATTTGGGTAGCTCGAAACAAAAATCGTCCGCGAATTCGACAGTCACGATTACCACTGCCGTGCCTGGGCTGCCCGGGAGAAAAATGCCTGATCGTCCAGCGTCCAGTGTGTGGATGCTCCCTGTCCAGAGCATGTATGTCCACTTCAATCAGTAAACGCACAAAACCAGATCGATTTGGCTCAATGCTCAACCTAGTATGTTAGGATGTGCATATATTCAGCATACATACTAAAGTTGGACATGGGCACTGGGGAGAGCTTTTTGGCTTGCCTCGTTTTTCTTCAATTGACATGTCACAACAGCATGGCACAGAGTGGGATATATGGTACGGCTGGTATTCTTGCTGAGGGGTTTGGGGATAGGGGGTACTTATGTTTCAGGCAAGGGTAGTTATAATAGGAAGGGAGTCTAACTCACCTCTGGACGAGTGTTTTTTTTGTTTTCTTTCTTTCTTTCTGTCTTTCTTTCTAAATGAAAACAAAATAACAAAAATAACTTGTCCCGTATATTTACCTATGCCTGTCTCGATCGCTTGGCTCAATACTTTTGAGTCTAGATATTCAGGTTTTATGCAAACAATCACTCGACGCGAACTCTTGTGTGCAGGGTAGAGTCCTGCCATTGCCTATTATTGGGTAAAATATCATCAACATCGCTTGTATCATCACCCAGTCCCCACCCTGTCTTTCTCCCCACCTTCCTGTCACCCCACCTTTCCCCCATTCTCTTACCCCACCCACTGCTCTCGCTGCTCTGTCCTTCTCCCCCACTCCTCTACTACCCCAATCTGGGCGCCAGGTCGAGGTGGTGTTTGCAGGCCCGGCGTGTGATAGTATCCGGGGCAGTGCGCAGCAGCTGCTGCAGCACCTGGCGGCGGCGGCCAAGGAGGCGTTTTACGGCTTTGAGCGCGCCGTGGAGAGCGATGAGAGCATGCACTCCCCACCTCTGAGTATGCCGCTTGATGGCATCAGGCATTCGCTCACGAGCTTCGTCTTCAACTTCCTCGACTTTCTCACTGATGATGAGTGCGCCGTTGACCCTTGATGCGCACACACGGCAATACCACCTGGACGAGGAATGGGTACAAAGCATGCATGCACTGTCCCATACTAACAACACTATAATCAGAACACAGTACGGAAATGTTTAGAGCATAATGGTCCTCCTTGTGTCGGTGGCACTGTTTCCCGACCTGACCTGACCTCGGCACCACCCACCCACCTCTCTCTCATCCACCTCGCTCTCTACCTTCCTCCCTTCACCACCCATCTTTCTTTCCCGTCCCCCCGTCCCCTTCTCTCCCCGTTACCTCCCCTTCCTCTCCACTTCCTCTCCTTCCTTCTCCCCCCCTTCCTCTGCCTCTTCCCCAATCCTCCTCACCACCTCCCCCCCCCCCCCTTCTCTCTCCTTCCCCCCTCCCCCCGCTCCCCCCCTCTCTTTCACAATCAGCTACCAGGCCACCATGCAGCAGCTCTTTGGGAGCAGCAGCCTCTTCAGCGAGGCAACGAAGCGGGTGTTGGCAGCGCTGTACAGCAACGTGGAGAGGAGGAGCCGGCAGTACGGCGATGCAGCGCTCGCACAGTTCTTCCTCATGAACAACACACACTACGTTGTGGAGGGCGTCCACAAGTAAGGGGGGGAGGGGGAAGGGAATGGATAGGGCGGTGGGGTGGGGGGAAGGAAAGAGGGGAGGGGTGGGGGGTCAAGGGGAGGGGAGGGGAGGCCTTGTTTATAGTGCAAGGTGTACTGTGAGGCGGCGTTCACTGACAGTGCTAGCTCGAAAGGGCACTCATGTTGGAATCGATTTTTTTTGGAGGGGGGGGGGGGTGTGGAGGTGGGGGGGGTGTGGAGGTGGGGGGAAAGCCCTGTTTTGAGTCAGACCGAAAAAGGGTTCATCATTTTGCTCATGCTATCCCTACCCTCTACCCCTTTCCCTCGTCCCCTTATCTCTCAGCGGCAAGCTGAAGGATGTGACGGGGAAGGGTGGGAAGCAACCATGCCGTGTTTGCCCTCTGCTCTCCAATCCAATGCCTCTCCTACTCCCTTCCCCGCACCCCTCCTCTCCAACACCCCCCCCCCCCCCCCCCCCCCCCCCCCCCCCCCCCCCCCCCCCCCCCCCCCCCCCCTCTTTTTCCTTGACCTCTGTTTTCTCTCAGGGGCAGGCTGAAGGAGGTGGTGGGGGCGGACTGGATCTACCGGCAGCGGCGCATCGTGCAGCAACATGCCGTGACGTACCGACGGACTTCATGGAACAAGGTGGGCGCACGGAAGGAGGAGGACAGGAACAAGCTCCCTCTACTCCATTCGGCTCGGAAAAGGCTTAAGCTGCCTCAGTCTCAAGCAGAACCTTGGCTCGGCTCGTGTTCATGTCTACCCCCGGTTGAAACTGCCCATCCTTCTCCCACTTGTCTTTCACCTCTGGCACCCACCCATGGAATCACCCCTCCCACCGACGCTGCTCTTGCTTGCCCCACTCCGCCCCTTCCCCTTGCCAGATTATTGGGCTGCTGTCGTCGGCAGGGCTGGCAGAGGATGGCAAGGAGGGCAGCGTAAGCCGCGGCATTCTCAAAGAAAGGTACGGACGCAGGGAGGAGGAGGGGAAGAGGTGTGTGAGGGAACAGAGGTGCTGGGGAAAAAGGAGGCGCGCGGAGGAAGGCGGAAGTTTGTGAGGCGGAGGGGGCGCTGTTCTGAGGGCGGACACAGTGATGGTGTGTTGGGGGGAAGAAGAAGCACGATCATGGGCAATGGGGTTGCAGGTGTGGTTGGGCTGGGTTGTACTATTCGCGCGACAATAGGGGAAGAGGAAAGGCGGGGATGAGGCATGGAGGCGGGCTTGATGCAGGCTGGTTGAGGAAGCACATGCTCTCCCTCTTCTATCCCTCCGCCCTCTCCTTCCCAGATTCCGTGTGTTCAGCGCCACGTTTGAGGAGCTGCATGGCTCACAGTGCGTGTGGAAGATCCCCGACCCCGAGCTGCGGTCCGCCTTGCAGCTGCAGATTGCTGAGCTGCTGCTGCCCGCCTACCGCTCCTTCGTGCAGCGATACACGTGAGTTGCCGACCGCTCCTTGGTGCAGCAATGCACTTTAGTTGCCGCCAGGGTGGTTTGCTCTTCTGTGTGCGCCTGCATGTGCTGCTGCGCGCCTGCCACGCCATTGTGCAGCGACACACGTACGTTGCGGTTCCCCCTAGGGTAGTCTCTGGTCCTCTGTTACATGTGCTGCTCTGCCGATTGCGCCTTGGTGCAACGATGCATGCTACGCACCGTGTGCTATGTTCTGTGCATGTGTGTTACATGCGTGTGTATCCCTGCATGTTCTGTAACAATCTGTTTGTTTGGCGTGCTTACACACGATGTGTGTTTACATACCTGCACGCACATTTGTTGACGTGGGCAGATGCACAAACGAGTGTTCCCATGCATCGCACGAGTGTTCCCATGCATCGCATATGTATTCCCATGCACACATGTGATTCTCAAATCTATCATCCCCTATCCCAACCCTGCCCTCTCCCCCCTTCCATCCATGTCCCTTGGTTGTCCTCCCATCGCTCCCTCGCCCCACATCAGCCCGGTGCTGAGGAGCGGCGGTGTCTTTGGGCGGGGCAGCGAGGCGGCCAGCAAGTACATTCGATTCACTGATGAGGCCCTCGAGGTGCTGCTCCACGAGTTCTTCCAAGGCAGGGAGAGCCGCAACATCCTCCTCACCCAACCCTCCGCGGCATGCTAGCCCGCACATGCCCCACGTGTGCCCCATTTGTGTGTGAGCCACGTGCCGTGCCCCACACGTGGTATGGTCATCATACGGTACTAGTTCAATCATGGTTGAACAACATTCCTAGTGAAGGCACATTATTCTTGGGGCAACATACTAGAACAAAAAGTGATGAATTGTCACGGTATCATTGAGATTAGTACGATGAATTGTCACGGTATCATTGAGATTAGTACGATGAATTGTCACGGTATCATTGAGATTAGTACGATGAATTGTCACGGTATCATTGAGATTAGTACGATGAATTGTCACGGTATCACTGAGATTAATACGGGCAGCAAGGCCTATGATAGGCGCATTCACTTCTGCTTTGAGGATTGCGCTTTACTCCAGTTCTGGAACATAAGCGCGGAGTAACAATATTACCGTCATCGCCCGATTTAAGATAGTGTCGAATAGTAGAGAGGGGTATCTTTATTTAGGGTACATTCTTATAAATGGATGTTCTGGCTATAAGAGACCCATGTGTGTGTACGAGTTTAGACATATATGTCTTATAGATGGTCAGGGATTAGGGGTTTCCTTTTAAACGGAAGGGGTATTTTCAACGGTTTTACCGCAATCACAGGGTACAGTCATCAAATATCCATGCCATTTCTACCGTACCTAGTCTCCCTCGGTTACGCCCTCATCTTCTTCATCTGCACTAGCAAAAGAGGGCTCCTGCACTTCGAAGTCTGGCACCCCCCAGGCGTGCTTGGCCGTCTTTGCCAGCTCCACTAGGCAATCAGCCAGAGCCGCAGCCCCACGGTAGCAGGGGTCTCTGCCCATCTCCAGCCCAGTTGCCATGCCGACCTCCCTGACGCCGTAGGCCTGCATCTCGTCCTCCTCCTCCTCCTCCACCTCCTCCTCCTCCTCCTCCTCCTCCTCCTCCTCCTCCTCCTCCTCCTCCTCCTCCTCCTCCTCCTCCTCCTCCTCCTCCTCCTCCTCCTCCTCCTCCTCCCCATCCCCCTCCTCCTCCTCCTCCTCCTCCTCCTCCTCCTCCTCCTCCTCCTCCTCCTCCTCCTCCTCCTCCTCCTCCTCCTCCCCCCCCGGAGCCTGCCCAAGCAGGCGCTTGTTGTCGCATGTGCGCCCCCGCAGAGACATGTCTTCAGACACGCCAGTGCTGCTCCTCGCACGCATGTAAGACATTACAAAGTGATTCTCCGTCCCGTCGAGGTTGCTCGAGATGCCGCATGTGTTGAACGCCTTGAGGATGATCTCGCACGGCACTTGCTCCCACGACTCCGCAATCCAATGTAGCACCACCTGGTATGGAGGCCTCCTCAAGTTCCGCATGGGGGGATGAGAGGGCAGCTTCAAGAGAATGTGAGTTCTGGTGTAGATGAAGGCAGATTCAATGGCTGAGAGGGCAGATTCAAGGCAAGAAAGGGCATATTCAAGGGATGAGATGGCATCTTCAGTGCAAAAGGTGTGTGGTTCAGCAACTCACCTCTTGGCATCCTCAGGTTGATGCCATGTTGCATGAACCACCTGCAGTAGCGGGCTCGCACCGCGGATTTGAAGCAGCGGTTGATCGGCACATCGAGTGGTTGAATCTGGTCGGTGCAGCCTGCAGGGATGACGGCTGGGGTGATGCAGTGCGTCCGACACATCTGCAGCATCCCTTGCGTGATGTGCCCGCTGTACGAATCTTGCACCAGCATCGAACGCCACGCCGACTGCCCTTTCTTGACGTTGAGGAAGGGCATCACCTCCTTTGCGAGCCACGTCTTCACCGCCGTCTCATCCATCCACCTGTTTTTCCTGGGCGTGGACCACGACACCTGCCGAGCAAGGAGAAAGAAAGGCATCAGAACAATGAACATGGTAAACACATCAACACATGCGTACACACAAGCGTAAACTCAATGATCAAGGAACCTGTACCTTCGGGAATGTCGCACTTTGGGATTTTATTCATCTTGAACCATGCTCGCGGCCGCAAATTATCTCCTAAGGCTATGCACGTGAGCATGACGGTGAGCCGCTGCTTCTCGTAGCCAGTTGTGCAGATAGGGACCGACCGCGCGCCTCTGTGGTCTATGGACCTCTTTGCCGGCATCTCCACGAACAACGGAGTTTGATCCGCGTTGATTATGCGCGACGCGTCGATGTTGTGGCGTGCACGCTGGATGCGAACGAAATTTCAGAAGGCTTCACATTCCTTGGCGCACTCTGCCAAGAGGACATTGAATAAACACACAGAGATTAACACACTGGTCGGAGCAACCACACACAAACACGCAGAGCAAGGATATGGCAGCATCGGTGAGAATACGATAGGAAAGAGCACAACATAGGGCAACAGGGAAGAGAATCACTCACCTTCCGAAAACTTATGCCCAACCTTCGTCTTTACCCTCATCACAAGGTTCCAGCGATCGCGGAATTGCTGGCTCCAGTGGGAGGAGGCGATCCAGTGCTTGTCGGGCTTGTTTTTCTTCATCCACTATCGACTCCACCGCTGCGTCTCTTGCACCGAGATCGGCACCCCCTTGGCGCATTCTAGGCAGATGTGGCGGTAGAGGACTTCTTCCATGCCAGGGTGATGCGAGTGCCGGCCAGCGCCGTGTAGGCGCTTGCGTCAGCTTGCAACACCCTTATACATGCCGGACTGCGCCTGCTCCACGCACCATCGGATTGATGCAATGCTGGCGGAAGATTCCCGCGCCGTTTTCGTTTGGGAGCCGAGCTCCAGGTAGCGCTGCGCCCACTTAGATTTTCTCCTTGACGCTCCAGCTCCTCCTGGTCTGTTTCACACCGCGACTGCGTGGGCAGGGTGGACGAGCATCTGCATTAGCAAGAGTGGGGTCTTTAGGCTATGATTTTTCAGGGTAAGAGGGAAGGGGTCCAGGAGCCTCAGCGTACTCATCGTTGCTGCTGCAATCCTTGTTGACGGCGATGGAGTCCTTCTCCTTGTCTGCCACTGCCCAGGACTTCTTCTTCTCCGCTGCCTTGCTGGTCGCATGTGCTTCATTGAACTTCCTCTTCCCCTTCTCAGCCTTGTGAAGCGGAGTTGTGGCTCCTCAACCAGGCTGTCGTCTTCCGAGAGCACCACCCTAGTGCGTTATTGGTGCCGCTAAGCCGATGATGCCGCTTCCTCTTCGGAAGAGGCACCTCATCATCACTGAGTCGCCAGGGGTCATCGTCCAAGAGGGCGTCTTCTCTTTCAAAGAGCACAAATTCGCGCCAGCATCAGCAGTACCCTTCGCATGCCTTCTGGCATTTGCATCCGCCGTCGCTCCTGCATCCGCATCCTCATTCGCCGTCGCATCAGCAACCGTAGTCGCTGCCGCATCCGCTTCCGCTGTCGCCGCCGCCTCCGCATTTGTAGTTGCCGCCGCATCGGCATCCGCAGTTCCCGCCGCATCAGCATCCACAGATCTTGCCGCATCCGCACCTCCGTCGTCCTCAGGGTCTCCGGCGCGCCACTCTTCCACGTCGTCGCCAGCACCGATGGGGCGCGTCCACCACTCGTCATCGTCGATTCCGCTAGCAGGTGTGGCACCGGTCGAGGCGCTGTCGTCGTGCCCGTTCTCCGGCCAGACCTTGTCGTCCCCATCATCCTGGTCCGTATCGTCACAGCTCGCACCTGAAGGGGCCTTAGAGCCCCGCGCCATGGATGCCGGTTGGCGCGTCACTTTACCCATCGCTAGGCGAATATTGTCGCCAAGCGAGTTGATGTGGCCATAGTTATTCACATGGTGAATAACGTTAGGACGAGGGGACGGTGAGCTATCAGGGTTCTTCCTACGCATGGTTCAGCTAGCCGAGAGGTAAGGTTGAGTGAAGTTTGAGCTCCCTTAGCTCAAAATGACAATCCTGCCAGAGTACCCCCCTGCCCTAAAGCCTCACTCCAGAGGTCGACGAGCCGCTCCTCTCAGAGGAATGTCCTTGTAGAGGACAACTGTTGACAGCATACTAGATGCCCTCATGCTGCCAGCAGCGTTGTGGAGGCAGCATTGGAGGGTTTTTGCCAGCAAGCCTGAATTCCTGGTCCCCTCACGTGGCACAATGATGGCGACGCATGCATCACCTGCAAGGTCGCCCAAATTCATGGGTGGTTTCTACACACTTTGTACATGTTACAGAGTACAGTTGAAAATTGTATATTCATAAGATCTATAAAACACCGATAACCTTTCGTTTACAAGAAAGCCTTAACCCTTTTTCGAGTGTATGAGAGAAGACATATATGTCTACTATTATGAGTTCTCAAACAGAGTTGCGCGAAAAACGAATAACGAAGCTGTGAAAATACAATGAATGACGCGAGATAATATAGCAGGCCAAACTAGCTAGGCGAGAACCTCAGGAACATGAGGTTGGGTGCAGGTTGGGCAAAGGGAAACCGAAGGCGATGCGAGGTTGCTTCGGCAGCAAACAAACCGATCGAACGGGCACTTCCGAACGTAGGGGTTGTACATGAAACATGAAACCCCAGTAAGAAAAAAAGGTTTTCCTTACATTACCCCCCCCCCCCCCCCTTAGAAAGGTGGTGAATGTTAAACTATAATTGTTATGGTTTGTTAGTTTAGTCTAGGTGTTACAGTGGGTTACTCTCTACAGGGTACAACCCCTTTAGGGTTTCCCCATTTATATGCCCTTCCTTCCTAGTTTCACCATTTCATTCCTTAGTTCATTGTTGTACATGGTATAGAGCTTGTGTTTCGTTCCTATGGGCCCACCGCCCCGTGCCCCGTCCTAGCGCCCTGCCTGTAGCGCCCCACCCGTAGTGCCCCACCTGTCGTGCCCCGCCCGTTAGCCGCACGCACGCTACCCGCTACCCGCTGCCCGCGACCCACTACCCGCAACCCGCTGCCCGCTATCCATTCCCCACTACCTGCCACCCACTACCCGCTGCCCCCGACCTGCACCCTGCCAGCTACCCGCGCCCAGTCACCTCGCAGCCCCCGTAAGCCTCGTCACCCCGTACGTCCCGTCGCCCCGCAGCCCCGTCACCCGTAGCGCCCTGGCTCCCCGTCGTCCCGTCATCCCGCACCCCTTACTCGTGCTCACAGCCACACGCGCTGCCCGCACAACCGCTCGCGCATCCCGCAAGCAGCCGCACGTGCAGCTCGTACGCACGCGCGCACGCAACCGCATGCATGCATGCGCGCGCAGCTGCACGCACGGACGGCTACCTGCCCGCTACCCGCTACCCGCACCCCACCCACTACCCGCGACCCGCTACCCGCTACCCGCGACCCGCTGCCCGCTACCCGTGACCCGCTTCCCGTGACCCGCTACCCGCTACCCGCTACCCGTTACCCGCTGCCCGCTACCCAAACCATGCCCGCTACCCGCACCCAGCGTGTCGCCCCGCTGCCCTGCCTTCCTGTAGCCCACCGCCCGCTGGCATCAGCAGCGCCAAGGCCGCCGCTAACGTGTCAGCAGCCCCTAGGCTGCCGCCAGCACCCCTGCACTTTCTCCTCCCTTCCCACTCCCCTCCTCACTACCCTTCCTTCCCGTCTCACCCACCCCGCCCTCCATCCCTCTCCCATCCCTGGAGGAAGCACCCCAGAAGCTTCCCATGATGGACCCAGCAGCACCAGCCACCATGCCCCATAAGCCCAGCTTTAGCGCGGGGTCGCCCCCTGCTGCAGCAGCCATGGCTGCTACACCCGCGTCCACTGTGACGGCAGAGGGGGAGGAAGGGACGACAGCTGTGGCACTGGATGCCTGGAAGGAGGCGGAGAGGGAGCGAGAGGAGGAGGAGGAGGGTCGAGCGGGGTTGGGTCTATATTGAGAGTGTAGCTATGGGGTGACCGCGATAGCAGACTTCGCCATACCAGCTGCCCTAACCACCCCACCTGCCCTATTTCCGCCTGCCCCATCGGCAGCAGCAGCAGCATCAGAAGCAGGAGGGAACGCCCTAGGATTCACCTCAGAAGCTTCCCTGGAGGCTTCACTGTTTGTGCCATACGCTGCATGCCTGCTGGACCACGCGTAACCACACTTTACCACTCTGCGGCGCTTTGAGGCGCTTCACGGAGGGAGGGCAGGCGGTGCGGCCTTCCAGGGACGGGCATGTGCGAGGGGGAGGGGGAGAGGGAGGGGGACGGACAGGTGTCGGAGCAGCCTACACCGCCGCCAGCTAGCACCAGCAGCCCTCAGGCCGCCGCCAGCGCGTCAGCAGCACCAGCGGCAGCATGGGCTGCAGCCAGCAAGCGCCAACCACAGCCCCCCCCCTGCTGCTCACGACCCCTCCTAGCCGCAACCGACCGCACCCAACTGCACCCGACCGCTTCTAGCCGTTTTCCACCGCACAAGACCGCACCAGACCGAACCCTACCGCGCCTAGCCACTCCCAACTACGCTCGGCCGTCTCTAGCTCCTGCCATGGCGTCCGCTAGAGTTCTGCAACAGCAGGGTCAGCCGTAGCGACAGCAGCTGCAGCACTCCTGGCAGTGGGGACCTCTTGGTCCAAGGAGTCGGCCCCAGCAGCGGCCCTGCCAAC